TCTTCTAAACAAGTGGGTTCTGAAAATGTCCTCAAGAGGCCATCACGTTAGTTCTATATGGATTCTATTGTGGTTCTATTCGAATTCGCCAGTTGTTCTGTATGACTTTTGTATGGATTCTCCTGGGGTTCTCTATGGATTCTCCTGGGGTTCTCTATAGATTCTCATGGGGTTCTCTATGGGTTCTCTATGGATTCTCCTGGGATTCTCCTGGGATTCTGAATGGATTCTCCTGGGATTCTGAATGGATTCTCCTGGGATTCTGAATGGATTCTCCTGGAATTCTGAATGGATTCTCATAGGGTTCTGTATGGGTTCTCCTGGGGTTCTGAACGGATTCTCCTGGGGTTCTCTCAGGGTTCTGAACGGATTCTCCTGGGGTTCTGTATGGGTTCTCAAAGTACTCTGTATATGAAAGAAGAAGAAGTGGAAATGTCGTGTATATCATTGGTTATTGTTTATTTGTTCTTTTGGGGAATATTGTATGGTCTATACAAGGCCCTTTTAATTTTCTTCTTTTTTAACTTAGCCTTGACGTTATCATCATCATCATCATCCCTATGTTTATGTTTGTATACCTTTGGACCATGCAGATTATGTTCTTCAACATATTTCTTTTGACGCTCAATCTGGGCTTTAGCTCTATCTACCACTGCTTGCATGGGAGATACCACCTGTATTGGTTCTTTAATGGTATTCACAGCTATCAATCTCATTCGTTTACCTCCAAATCCCTTTTGATTGCTCCTTCCTGCTTTTATTATTCTTTGCCACTTTTCAGCATCGTTTACCACGGGTACGACCTTCATTGTTTTCATGATGTGACTCGATTAAAGATCAAGAGGTAATATGGTTGGTATTTTTTCTTCATGACATTATATACTCGGGGATAAATATTAGGTCACATTTGAGGTCACATACAGTTTAAATAGATTATCAAATTTGTAACATGAATGATGTGGTGACCTTGAGGTTTTACCGCTTTACAATATGTTTGATCATATATATTATATTCTTTATTATTTTCACAGTTAAATCCAGAATGATATAATGTTTCTCAAATATTAGGTCTATCTAAATAAAATAAAATTCATTAAATTTATTTAATATGATGGTATTTAAAAGAAGGTTTATGTGTCACAAGTGCAGTAATACGGGTATACAAAGTCATTTCAAGAGTGTGTAGATACTGGACTAGTAAGCCACACTTCACTTTGTTTATAAACCACTAAAACAAAACAACACAGCGTTCTTAACATAAACAATACTGCTTACCAATTATAAGATTAACTCGCTTGTCCTCGAAGCATCATAAGCATCATCGTGTTACAGGTCAAAGTCTGGTAAGGCTAGACTGAATTACATGACAGCTGATAACTATATATGAGCTTCTGTAGAACACTAAGTCAAACGATATTAGGGCGTATTTTTGTACATGCTTTTTTGACCGCAGGCAAGATTTTAATCCTAAAAATTAGCTAGATCATGGTTATACCACAATAGAATGGCGCTAAATACCGCTGTGTAAAACAATACTATTGAATAATAAACAACTGTTACAATTTCACTTGCATCTCAGTTAAACAAAAATACAGTGTAAACCTCTCTCACGTTGAACTATGAACTAGTTGTGAATATGTATAACAAAAAAAAGGACTCTTAAAGTGAACAGTATTTAAGGATCATGTTAGATATAGCACGACCCGGTAAGTTAAATTTATAGAACATTTTTATCATACAGTCTATACGATTTCAACCAGTTTTAACCGGATGTTGAGGGAATTTAAGCATAAAAGAAGTCCTTTGAAGAAGGATGGTATACTACGATAGTTTAGGATTATACCGAATTGACCCCTAGTTAAATATGTTAAAGTTAAATTTATTGAACAATTTTGAGTAATAAATACTTTCACTTCAACGTATTTCAATCGATATATCCGATGGCTCTCCTAAATGAATCTAAAATCATCCTGCTATTTGTAAAGAAATGACAATTGTATGGCTTGTTATCATACTACGACCTACCAACGTTATAGTCCTGGAACATTGGATAATGTCTGGCTTCTGGAAAAGTCAACCTCGATGTCAATCCGGACGTCGACCTTACGTTTGTGGGGGTGTGGAAATCTGAGTCCTATAGGACTGGTTAAATAAAAAGGGAAATCCCCTGTTTTCGAGGTGGGAATTACACTTCAACGTATTTAAATCGATATAATGGCCTAGGGATGATCATCCCTGATCATCCCGATCCAGCATTCCTATTTCTCCTACTACTCAGTGATTTCATGTTTCTATTGAATGCCTTATTTTGAAGTCTAGCTAAATAATCGAGTTTGATTTTAAACGTTTTCGGGGATCCGGGCAGAACTCAGGATATAGTACTTGAGTACATTTGCATTCAAAATAATTCAAAATTCAAAATTGCAAATATCATGGAAGTTGATTGCAATTATGTTCGATAATCGTCAACATGAAAGAACAATATGTCTGAATAATTAGCTATTAAACATCTTTATCAAAACTTTCCTACACTTTTAAATGTTGATCTTGTCAAAGAGTACTCTCCATCTGAGATTCAGATGTAGATCGAAAATCAAATTGATTTCAAAGGTATTTATAGATGGTTTACATGAGGGGTTCTGTCCATGTGGGTGGTGTATTCCTTTCATAACAAAGAGTTGTTTTGCTTCCGGGGTCCTAAATTATTCAATTTTAAATAGTAACTAATAAGATTAAACAGATCAAAAAGACTCGGGGCACTGCCGTCGCCCCATCATGATCAATACAGGTGACAATAAGCGACACATGTTTCAGCGTCATGATAGTAAACCATGACATCTCAAATCTTCCCAGCCCTTGATTTTTGAGATCTTTCATCCCAGCTCATATTTCATCTAATTGGGGTCATAAAACTTGTGTAACTGTGCCTGTTGCATCCTCGCTGGAAGGGTATTTTACAAGTATAAATGAAGTCCTTTGAAGAAGGATGTGCCTGTTGTTAAATACATGTACAATGCCTTACTACATTATGTAATGTATTGACATTAAGGTAGATGATTACATGATAACAATCACACTTATTGACATTCATAACTCTTCCCATCTGATATGCTCAGATCACAGAATATGCCTCATTATATCAGAGCATGTTTCAGGCGTTTCAGACCCATAGCCAGGATTTGCCAAGGGGTGGGTTACTTTTTTAAGAAATTCCAGGGGGAGTTTACTTTTGGCAATGTTAGTTCAAAAATGAGCAAAATAATTTAAAAGGTGCTCAGTATGGGGTAAAAAATGCAATTTTGGTCACGGAGGGGGGGGGGGGGTCGCTAGAACCAATCTATCCCCCCCGTATTCGGGCCTGCATGTGCTATCTACATATTTGACAATTGATAATTTGATTGACACGGTTCAAAGTGGACTTTGTTAATTATTCAAACTGTTTTAATATCTAGGAATATGCGTCCAAGTTAAAATCACTCGAAATCAGGGTAGATAAACCTAAGAAAAACACATTTCGTGTTTTCATTTGATCTTTAACATGATCCTGTAAAAATGTCAGATTTAGCAAAATACATAGGCGATCTCCATCTGCACACATCTACTCATTCCGACTAAGCTATTGCCTATACTTACACGCACACGCATACTTTTAAATTAATTTTATTTTGATAATGATTTAAAAAACACAAATTATTATTAACACGAAATTAAAATGATTGTTATATTCCAATCCTAGTAAAGTATAATTAAGCGCGACTATAGGGCATAACAACATGTGGCCAGTCTAATTATACCGTTTGTTTTGATAAGGCTGTGCAAAGAGATATCAAAACTCTTGACACGCTCTTTACACGCGAGGTCTTTGCACCTCTTGACACGTCTTGGAATCTCTAGATACGCGGAGTTCCTAGACTATCTTTGCACGTCTAGAAATTGCTTGGAATTTCACATTTGACGCAGTGTTGAAGCCTGGGACTCAGTTTTGAAATGATTCATTCACTTTGCTGTTCATTTGATTTTGTCCAAGCCAGGCCAGGGCAGTCTGTTTTGACTGGTAAATGACCCCCCCCCCCCCCCTTTCTTGTTCTAATACGAATAATATCCATTGAATATATCAATATATATACGAGTACATTGTATATCAATATCGTAAAGGAGTTTCCCACAACACAAATGACATATTATATCATTAATAAAGCCTTGTAAATAACTGGTCATTTTCCCATCTACTGACAAGTGGAAACAATGATTTTGTCAGTTTAGTAGCTGTATGGGTTATCAATCACTCACCTCTGACATGTTCTTTCTTTCCTATTCTTAAATAAAAATAATGATGTTGGGTATTCTTAAGTTGACAATAACACAATAGTTTTCCAGTAAACCATAGATGTTAATACCTCATGTCAACTCAATATGATTTTATAAAATGAATGTGTAAAGCAATCAACATGTTCATTAAAGCTTTAAAATAAAGAATACTTGAAAAAGTAGCTGCGAAAGAAAGGGGGTCATATCAAACATTGACTAGTTTAATGCATTAACTTTGTGGCTTGCACCTATACACTTGACATCAGAGAGATAAATGACTGAACTATGCTCAGTAAAATTTTGGTGCATTTTAGAGGAAAAATAAAGGTTTTGTGTTCAATTAACAAATGTTCCAATTTTTTTTGGACCACCCTGTACTTCTGCCATACATTTGTAAAATGACCTCTGACATTCATATACACTGTATATTCACTCAGTCACACCTTTTCATTATGTCCTGTTAACCACATAAACATTCACTGCACATGTGAGTATCACATTTATTTATTTATTTTACTTTCACATTTATTCACATTTAGTCAGATTAGAGAAACCCTGTGACATAAAAAAACAAAAATCGATGCTTGACTGAGAATACAGCATTTTTTCAGTATTGGTAACATAAACTGTAAGACATTTTTGCATTGTATTTTCACAAAAAAAATTGCTAACTAGTAACACATTTTTTGTAGATGACAGTGTTTCTACAACAAGTGGTCTGTCCAGTTTAAAATTATCTGAAGAGAGGATAAGAAAAATACCTACAGAAAGCATGGATCCGAGCATAGAAAAACGTATGAAATAATTTTTCTGTGAACAGATTTGAAAAGTAAATGTAATGGCAATTTTAGTTGACCTTTCAAAAGCATTGTTATTTGTAAATAAACGTTTTTAAACAGACAATTTTATGGCGTGGAAAACAATTTTCTATGCATGGGTTAAACGTTTCTTTTGGTCACATGAATAGGATTTCCTCAGCTTTCAGGTGTTGAATTTTGATTTTCATTACATTAGTTCTCAATTTTACTATCCCATGCAAATGTGACTTTGCCATGTTAATGTATTATTATCCCATGTGAGTGTTGCTATCATATGCGAATTAAAAGAATAAAAATTCCTAACCATCTTAGTATCAAATATTTGATGATCTGCTTTTAGAAGTGGAAAGTGGGTCTACTTCATTGAGGTCATATGAGATTATTTCTCATAAAGAAGCACAGTGTGTTACAGATGCAAGCAGTCATCCAGTTACAAAACAAGGTACAGCATGTAAGTAGTTGAAAGCAGGCCCGTAGCAGGGGGTTCGAGCGGACCCCCCTGGCCAAAAATTCTTTCATAATCATGCAGTTTTTCATATTGAGCATATTTTAAGTGATTTTGGCCATTTTTGGACCCAAATTGTCAAAAGGGAACCTTAGACATGTCTTGTCATCACAATTCTATGAAAACTGCCCATTGGAACTTGTACACTTTTAGCCAGTCATCTTCGACTCTGACAGTCATTTTAAAGTAAATTTTGCTTGATTCTTATTGCCATGTTTGTCAGAGTGCCTACTTTGTAATGTGATCTCATTCATGTCCTATGTCTTGTTGCAAACGAGGAGTCACTAATCAGTTAACATGTTTATTTTGCAAGGTTCCTCGGATAAATGCCAAAAGACAGCCGAACAAGAGATGAAACACAGTATGACTGGTTGTGAGTTAGCTGCTAACAACAATCCAATGTTTTCTGATCCAGATAAAGCAAACTGTGAAAACTGTGATGATACAGCTTGTGATACAAAGAATCCAGGTATGAGCAGGGATTGATATTAGTACTAATGGTCAAGTGGAAATAGAATTGATATATCTCATACATGTCCATGATTAATGGCCAACCTGAGGATTTTGGGATTTGGGAACTTTTGCAGCAATTAGTCTGATCCTATATTTTCAGAAGTACTCACATAAGGGACACATGTATAAGACATGTTGTCCATTTTTGAACATAGGTGCATTTGAAAGATTGAATTTGAATGTTGGGATTATTTTCAGAAACTTCCAGACAAACATACGGTTTAACAACTCTTTTGTTAGAAGTCTTTAAATTACTCATGCTGATATTGGGAATTTCCAAAATATTTTGTGATACTCATTAAAAATAATACCTCTCATTACTCTCTAGAGGAGGGGTCAAAGGGTATCAGATGTAAGGGATAAACACAACCTTGAATTGGATTTTTTGTTTGTTATCCCGTCTTATATACATCTCTATTGGTTGTGGAAAAAGAGTCTTTTAGACCAAAAAATAACTGTATTAACAATTTGATGAATATATTATTTAACTTCTTGAATAGATGTAGTTGGCGGAGTTGAGGTATGCCAGGGTAATGACCACGATGATCCCAAACAAGTTCATGCCCCGAACCAACCTATGTTTTCAACCCCTGGGATTGACCAGAACATAGCTCCAGGCTTAGGACAGACTACCATTCCAAAGGGGTCATCAAAAGGTATTTTCTTCTTTTTAAAACTGTTCTTTTTCTGTTTTGCATAATTATTTAGTTGCCAGTAGGAAGTACCAGTTTCAGCATCGGGTGGCTAACTCGGGTCAGATAACAAAAGTCCCTTATGCACTTGAATAATTAAGTCGTGGGTAAAATTTACTCTATAATATTACCCAAATTACTACTTCAGTTTCTTTTTATATTGGCTGCGATTCAATTATTTAAACTCACAGAGGATATAGAGGATGTCAACAAGTCCCAAGAAATAGGGCCACTCCGGGATGACCAACAAGCAGCTTGTCTGAGTCCTCCATATTATACACCTGGAGTTGATCAGCAACGGGTCCCTGGGATTGGGCAGACAGTGGCTCCCTCAGCACCATCTCAAGGTAAACCACATATCACTGCCACTATTTTAATTACATGTATCTTTTATTCACTGTAAAACTGGTATTTAGAATCTTGTCTGCTCTGAAAAAGATCCAGAAACATACATGTACTGTAATATGAAATGATTTTCAGTGATATCATTTTGTCAATGAATCAATATTGAAATGCAACAAGTTGGTAAATATGATATCAAGAAAACTAGTGGGGCAAGTCATGGAGAAAACTAGGGTCAACACAAAAAATATATAAAAGATTGAGCCAGGAGTCTATGAAAAAAGCATCTTTTGATGTTTTTATTCCTGCTTAAATTAATGAGGAAAATTACATAAATTCACTTCCAAAATAGTTTAATGCTTTAATTAACACAAAGATCTAGAATTGATCATATTGTTGCTATATTCTGAACAGCTCCATTTCTCCTTAAAATAGCAGTAACCTCATTTTAGCAGGCAACATCTTGAAATCTTGGCCCATATTGTTGCAACTTTACTTGAGTATGCAATATTTCATGAATACGAAGATACATGTATGTATAGGATATCCTATGATTTTGAGAGATGTCATTTTTATTCACGAGTTGATATCAAAATCTGGACGAGTGAGCGTAGCCAATGAAAAAAAATTATAGGATGTTCTATTTATCCCATAGTTCAAATAACCATGGACGTAGTTGGTATACATCCATGACCTAACAAAGCATTTCAAAACAACATTCAGTTTTATTTTGTCCTTTGAACTGTATAGCCAAAACATTAATCATTTCCATATTTGTGACGTCATGAAATCACCATGTAAGCTCATGTAACAATGCACATCACATATGCGGGAGTTTTCAAATCTGTGGAAATAATGATATCTGTGGAATAATCTCTGTATTCCACAGATATCGCTTTTTCCACGCATTTGCAAAATATCATAAATATATTATATATGTGTTATACAGATTTGACCTCAACTAATAGTCAGGTTTGAAGAGGAGATAAGTTCACAGAATATTTCAAAAATATATAGAAGCAATCTTTAGGTGGATTTCAAAACTTCATACCATCCTTTTGAGAACCTGAAGTAGCACCAAGCAATCCATTGACTGTTTCACCAAAAATCCAAGATGGCCGCCACAATGTATCGACAATTCACAGGAGGAGTGAGTAGCTCCCATAATTCTTTCATATTCTATCGTATTCGGGGATTCCCCATTACATCATCTCTTGCATCATCTCCAATCAAATTGCAGGATTCGATCACGTGAACAATCATGGGCACATGCTCTCTCAGTGCTGCGCATGCGCAGAGTTAAATTTTATATCGTGAGAATGGCGTTTACATCAGTTCAACATCGTCATTTCAAACCTACGGTAATACTATTGAAGTTACTCGATCCATACTTGTAGAGAATACTCATAAAACTACAGTGAACATTTGGAGATCCATTTCAACGGAAAATTGAGGCCTGTTTATAAAATTTGTTTTCGAACGTGCTAATATGATAGGGCATCTTTGGGAAATCTCCCCCCCCTGGACAATTCACTAAAATTGACTAATATCATAATTTAATTTGTCAAAATAGTTAAATACTGATCAAACATGACTAATAATAGTACCTATTAGATGGTCATATGCATTTAAAGTCACTAGATAATTTTTGTGTGAAAACTGGAGTCCCACAAGGCTCAACTTTATGTCCCCTACTTTTTTAGTCCAATGACTCATTGACCATGGCATTTGTACATTGCAATGTATAGAAATCCATTTTTGTAACATGTGCACCTAGGACCACATTTCACCTTGCACCCATACTTGACCAATGCTTGGTATGCCTTAGCTGCTTGAGGAAGGGTTGTACATGGTGGCATCAGGAGGGACATGTCATTCTGCCAGCCACATGTTGTGAACTCGATAATCATTTTGGTTATGGCACCAAACTATACCGCCTTGGTAAGCAAGTTAAGATTTTCTGTGCAAGGGCTCTTTTTGTTGGTGGTATTTTTTAAATGACTGTATGACTGTTACAGAACATTAGCCTTCGTGCTGCATTGATATCTGTCTGGTTGCTGGTTCAATCATATAATAAAACAGTAAAATGTCCCAGGGACTGAATGGCTTGAACTGACAAAGGCTGGTTTGTTGTAACCATTTGTGCCACTTGTAGAAAAGCTAGAGTAACTTACTTGAACACATTCCATAGATTGAAGGGCAGATTCTTAGCTATGGCCAAAGAATGGTGCAGTTAAATGATATATATTAAAACCTGTAATTTTTGAGAGGTCCGAAGGCAATCCAGATTGACACCTATTGTGCCCTAATGCTGCAGCCACTGCCATGGCAAGAAAAAGGACATCAGTATCTCCACTTCTGATTATGAAGTATTTTTTACCCTCTGAGGTCATCTGTTTTATATGAACAAAGAGCCTAGTGTCAGCTTTTTCATGAGTAAAAGGTTGCTAACCTACTGTAGGTGGTATTGTTTGGGGCCAACTGTACAATCTCAATCCAACATGTGTAACATGTTCACAACATGCTGGCAGTATGACATGTCCGTCCTGGTGCCACTATATACAGTCCTTCCTCAAGCAGCATGCGAAGCATTGGTCAAGTGTGGGTGTAAGGTGAAATGTGGTCCAAGGTGCACATGTTACAAAAATGGATTTCTATGCATTGCTATGTGCAAATGCCATGGTCAAATGCAAAAAAATGCAAAAAATGTAGCGGACATAAAGTTGAGCCTTGTGGGACTCAAGTTTTCACACAAAATTGATCCAATTATTTTAAATGGATATGAACTTCTGATAGGTACTATTATTAGTCATGTTTGATCAGTATACAGCTATTTTGACTTATTAAATCATAACTTTAGTCATTTTTTATGATTTTTTGATACATCGCGGCGGCCATCTTGGATTTTCGGTGAAAAAGTCAATGGATTGCTTGGTGCCACTTCAGGTTTTCAAAAGAATGGTATGAAGTTTTGAAATCCACCTTAAAATTGCTTCTATATATTTTTGAAATATTTTCACCTAAATCTTCTTGACTATAAGGGATAATGATATTATATTTTATGTTTACAGATGTAATTTGGAGTTCAATAGATTCTCGTGATTTGGAGAGAGAAAGTAAATCACATGCTATACACCACCCTCCCACAGGTAAGGATTAGATTTTTTAAAGTATCGTATATATGGATTGATACTGTGGAAGAGAAGAGGGGTTCTCTAAAGTTATCTCGGCAAAACTTAAATGTAACTTAAGTTTCTACTTAGCAGCTTTGAGAACTCACTAAAAAGATTACATCCTCTTGTTATAAGGACCAAATAAACTAGGATATAGTGGATTTGTGGTTAAACATTGGACTCCTATTTAAATAGAAGAGCCAAAAATAGACTCAAATACTTCCTATGATTCCAGGAAACCTTGCAGCAGAAGCCCCTCACCAAAGTTCAAATAGGACCCAAAACCAAGTTCACAATAGCCCAGTTCAGATGTCACCAAGTCAAAGTCAACCTGGCCCAGGTCAGATGCCCCAAGGCCAAGGTCAACCTGGCCCAGGTCAGATGCCCCAAGGCCAATATCAACCTGGCCCAGGTCAGATACCCCAAGGCCAAAGTCAACTTGGTCCAGGTCAAATACCCCAAGGCCAAAGTCAACCTAGCCCAGGTCAGATGCTCCAAGGCCAATGTCAACCTGGCCCAGGTCAGATGCCCCAAGGCCAATATCAACCTGGCCCAGGTCAGATGCCCCAAGGTCAAAGTCAACTTGGTCCAGGTCAAATACCCCAAGGCCAAAGTCAACCAGGCCCAGGTCAGATGCCCCAAGGCCAATATCAACCTGGCCCAGGTCAGATGCCCCAAGGCCAAAGTCAACTTGGTCCAGGTCAAATACCCCAAGGCCAAAGTCAACCTGGCCCAGGTCAGATGCTCCAAGGCCAAAGTCAACCTGGCCCAGGTCAGATGCTCCAAGGCCAAAGTCAACCTGGCCCAGATCAGATGCCCCACGGCCAATATCAACCTGGCCCAGGTCAGATGCCCCAAGGCCAAAGTCAACTTGGTCCAGGTCAAATACCCCAAGGCCAAAGTCAACCTGGCCCAGGTCAGATGCTCCAAGGCCAATGTCAACCTGGCCCAGGTCAGATGCCCCAAAGTCAACCTCCATCATATTCTGGACAGGGCCAAGTTCAAGGTCAAAATGCTCAACCTGATGTAGGAGCATTGATGCAGCAAATGCAACAGATGCAACTCCAAATGCAGCTCCTCTTGCCACAGGCAGTACAAAACCAGTGTCAACCTGTGCCTAGCCAACTACCACCCAACCAGGGACAGTTTGCACCTCCCCAGGGACAACCACCACAATATATACCTGACCAAACCCAGTTTATGATGTCAATGATGCAGCAAATGCAACAAATGCAGCAGGTGTTAACACAACAGCAGCAACAACAACGGCCGATGAACAGTGGTGATAACTCCCTTGACAGTATGCCATCTGTTGATCTCAAACAACAGATAGCCAAGGACCCTGAAGCGGCCAAGAAGATTCTGACAGAAGTAATAAGTGAAGCACCCGCTGCTGCCTCATTGCCTCCCAGCCAATCATCTGGCTTGAATCAGGTAAATCTCAACTGTAACCAGGGTGCATGACAAGGATTTAGGGTCCCTGTCAAATTCAAATGACAGACCAGGTGCCTTGATATTTCATCACTCTACTGAACAATGTTCGAGTAGGGATATTAAGAGGCTTTCCGTCCATCTGTTCATCCGTTTGTCTGTCCATCTGTATATACATGTATGTCTGGGAGATAACTCAAGTACTTGTTGATAGATTTAGTTCAAAATGTATAGACTTGTGCTTTATGGGCATAGAAATAGCCCACCACCACTGCCAATTTATTAAGTGACATGACGATTTGACCTCTGGAACCCTGTATTTTATTACTATCAACATTGAGTTTTTATAGGAAGGTGCATTTTCTTATATATATTTATTTTTGTTTCAGAACTTTCGTCCCATTCATGGTCCACAACAAGAGACTGGAGCTAACCCAACAGCAGGTAAATCATAAGTAATGGTACTGTTATATAGCTATTGACCTCTCTAAATGTTAAGTTTGAATTGAAGACACTGGCACTGCAAGCTGAGACCACACACACATCATAACTATTGACCAAAATTAAACATTTTAGACTGAGGTACTTTACACTATTATTGCTGACAGTGCATCAACCTAAATATTTGATTTTGATTGGTTATTGAGGGTCACTAGATTTTACAATTGGTCAATCAATGCATTGCTGGTTAATACATAATTGTGCATTGAACTCTCTTGAAGAACTCTATAAAACAAATACATGTACTCCACAACTTGAACATTTTCTTGCAATAAACAAGCATTAAAAGGCTATTTTCCCCCTTTACTAAACTGGCAATCCTGTATCAAACTCTTGTTTTGCAATAAAGAAAATGTTGACTGGTATTAATTTTTATGTCACCACCACAAATGTTGACATATTGTTATTTCTTTTTTGGATGGTTGGTGATTGTGGCAACTGACAATTGGTGTTCAGTGTTCTGTGGTTGGTATTCAAATGTTCAAATGGCAGGTGGTGACATTTTGTATTTTAATACCCTGTCTGTTCTTGTTTTGGATGTATGTACCTTTGTAACTTTGTATTATGTCCTAGTTTAGAATTAGAATTAATATTTTCATAGAATGGAATAACATCTGAACATGGGCTCCTATGATGTTTTCTTTAGAGTCAACATGTATCTTGCAAGTTGTTGCCTGGTTAATCATTCCTCTATATTTACTTTACAAGTTTTATATTATTCAATAAGGATGTTTCTGTATAGCTGGATAAAGCTGATGTAATAGATGTCACCCTTGCTTTTCTTTGTTTTGCTTGGGCCAGATTGCCATTGACTTCAATGTTATGAACATGCAATAGTAACTTAATTTCATGATTTATCAAAAAGTGTTTGTTGAATCTGTCTGAAACTTGAATGGCATACTACGGGATGACCCTATTAATGTACATATTGTGATTAATCATGAACATTTTGGTTGTCGGACGAATAAACCAGGGTTTTCTAGAAATTTAGCATTGCATTAATGGAGATTTGACCCAAGTTGTAAATTTTTCAAAGAATTCAGAATTCAAATATGCTTTTAAAAAGAAGGAAAGTATATCGTTAGAGGTTAGCAAATCTCTTAAAATCTCACGAAAAAAGAGAATTGGCAAGAATTCAAAGCTAAGCTATATAGAAGCTCCTCTGTTCTGTGTAGTGTACATAACCATTACATGTCGATAATTCAGCTACCTGTGTATACAGAATTTGTAGAGGTTTTTACTGAATATGGGTTTATGGGTTTTGTACCAAGTGCGAATATACCTTTTTCTTATTGATGAAGGTATAAACCCATATTTAATTCCTTGGTAATTCGTAGGTATATTATATCATAATGATAGGTGTTTTATATCATAATATTAAATGTTTAAAGAATGAATTCATGCCATTTCCAGGTGCAGCATCTGGCAGTGAAAGTGGAGGCCCAACAGAAGAGCTACGTTCTGTAGGGTCATTGACACCTGTTGACAAGGCATTAACTCCAGTCCTTCGACTGCCCAATGATATCAAAAAAGGGCTAAAGATACGCCTGGACCCTGACAGGTCCTTGACAAGAAATTGGGAGTATATCGCAGAAAGGAGGGGGTTGACATATGAGGAGATAAAGTACATTAAGTCTGGAATCCCAGGCCATTACCATAGCTACTTCTTTGAAATGCTCGACCATGAAAAATGCCAGGGTTATAAAGTCCAAGCTCTTGAGGCAGATTTAGAGAAAATTCAACGTCGTGATGTATTACACTACCTTCGTGAGAAACAGTGGATTGCGTGATTGAATGACTTTTACATACATCCATGTGTATCAAAGTTGAAAAATACATACAGTAATATTAATATGAATCGGCATGACACATTCCATCTTCATTGTTAGAATATGGTGCTCACCAAAGGTTGAGTAACAATGGTTACTGACTCTTTATTTTATGAACATGTGAATTAGTTGATATGCACTTGGGCCATGATAGCTTATCAACGATGTATATATGGCCTCTTAGGGTCGGCTTAAATGCCAAGCAAGACACACACAAGGAGTAGGGGTGGCTGAGGGTAGGAAGGGTTAGGAAATATTTTCACTTGGAAGATGTTGGCCCTCACACATAGGAACCATTGAAGATGTTGATTAAAATGTTCAAGATTGATGCAAAAAAGATTGGTGAACATGGAACTGTTTATTGTGTATTTCACCAACTTATACAGTTCATGTACAGATGTTAGGCTTCAAATATAATGCTGTTAACCTTGGTTGTGATATTAATTAAACATGTAATTATATACAGCTTAATTTACTCATTTCACTGATGTGAAATAAGCCTCGTTGTATATAAACATGAAAGTGTCAAGCTTGTTATAAGGAATGTATGATGTGATTTTGGAACAGTGTTGTACATTATTTTGTGCCAATTAATTTAGTCTCTTGTCTCAGATAGTGTAGCATGTGTAATCAATGAAAACACTTGTAGACTATCCTCATATCAACACTTGACTTCCGCTCTTGTTTAAAATCATAATTGCTAGAAATTTCATAATCACTTAATGAGTAATCATTTAATAACTGTAAATATCACAGTATAAGAGAATAACTATAAATACTTGTACATGTTTTTCACGTTATTTCCGCAATATGTGGATAAACTGATTTTTAGAAATTTCAAAATTAATGTAACGCATTTAAGAAAAAAGAAGAAAATGCTTAGTAAACTAGGACTTCTTGTAGGATAAATGTAAGTGTATGTGTTTAAATAGATAGAAAACACAAAAACAACTAGGTATGATGTACATTTTTTTTATACATAAATTTATTCCTTTAGTTAACAATAATAGACATGCAATTGATTGCCAAAGTTTTATAAAAAACATAAGCGGCAATTTTAATGATGTACATAAAACAAACAATTCAATTGTTTAAATAGAAAACACAAAACAAATAAAGATGATGTACATAAAACAAACACACACATAAATGTGTGTAGAGATATGTGCTTTTATACTAGATCACAGATCTAAGGCTTGAAAATAGGGCATGGAAATTATTGTAGGACTTGTGAAACAAGTTACACATTTATTCCATAAATTAAACTGGTATTACCTGTATTGCATTTTTGCATTATTCTGTATTACATGTTTAATACTTGTATTTTGTAGGTAGTGTCTTGGTAATTATTGTGATTATGAGTGTAGAAAACATTTACTACAAGCTTAATTATGTGAAGTGTAAATATTTGTGCAATGCTTGACATTTTATTTTATGCTAGAAATAAATTGTGAAAATAAATCATGTCATATAGTTATTACTTAATAGCATACAATGCCTATTAAACAAGGTCATCTGGCATAAGAAATCTGGACCTTATAAGGTGATAAGCAATAATGTTATGCACCAAATTCGAAATTCATTGCATTCTGCCTACCTTAATATCAAATACTCTATCAGAATTAGAAACTTCACTATTCTTAAGTCTTGAACAACCATAATTTTTTTTTACTATGTATATACCATATATCTGAGTACTGTCAGAGCTCAATACACTGGGCATTGAATAAGAGAGATAAATGTAGTTTTGATGCCAATAAGATCTAAATGACCCCAAAAGTAACTATCATGCTCTTATGCCAGGTACAATTTGGTGACTGCCATTTTGATTCAGTAGTTTGATTTTATATTAAAAAAACTCTCTGATTACAACTTTCTGAGTTATATTCTGATTTATCTAATCTCCAAGAGTAGAGGTTGTAACTCCCACAATGAGAATGCTAGAAAGGACACCATTGACATGCTTTAAAAGGATATATGTAAGTAAATAAAGGCTTCCTAAACAAATAAATACATGTTGTACAGTAGGTACTGGGCCCACAAATCGAGTTAATAGAGAAAAGTGATTAATAGCTAAAATTGCTGACAATGGCGACTAAATGGCCATTTTGAAAATAGACCAGCTTTGAAATTGGACTCCTGTGAGCTTACAAAAAACATCATCACCAAACATTCTGTGGCTTTTTTGTTCTTAACCTGTTAGTGCTTTGAAGGTTCTTTTGAAGGGGAATGAGCTATGGACATTTTATACGATTTTTTAGCAATCCCTCATGGAAAGTATTATAGAATTAATACCAGGCATGATGCTCAATATCCTTAAATTGTTATTTTGCTGGAATTCATTGAGAGATGATAATTACTGCATTGTACATATTAGGAGCATAGCCACCCCTCCCCCAAAAAAGTAATTGAGAGAAATGTTCGGTTTGCAAATGATAATTCAGCAGAAATAAAATATTTCTTTTTTTAAAGGTGCAACAATTAGTGCAGGGGGGCCATTCAACGATCAACGACCAGTGTCAAAATATATTTAAGTTTGGATATTTCATCAAGACTTACATATATTTTTATTATCTACAAAGAAACCCCCTGGATGAACATTATTTCAGCTGATATTCCTCTTGAAACGTGGTGAATCTTAAAAATCTATAAGTGGGACTCCCTTTATAGAAGCTTTGAACTGAATTTACACTTCTTAATGCTGAAATTGATAGTTTATCCATACATTTTAAGAAAATAGGTATGTCAAAGAAGATGTTAAGCCAGATATTGACCTAATAGCTCAGAAATGTTTTTTTTCAAATTTTCTCTCTACAGTCCTTGTTGCCCCTTTAACAGATCACATTGAGTTTTAATTATAATTTAAACATCCATTTTCCATTTCTGCCTATAAGGAGATTGACTTAGAACCCTTATGTTCTATAAAATGCCTAAAAGTTATTTGACAAATTTGAAGGCAAGCAACTGATTGGCAACTGAAAACCAATGAAGGCAAATATAGGGTTAGAAAATAAAGAGTGTAAATTAGAGGTAGATATAAAACAGTGGGTCATAATTGTGTTGTACATGTATGTGAACAGTCAGGGGTTTATAAAGTCTTTTAAATCGACACAGTTACTAAAATATATACATTTATTATTTCCATGTCGTGATACTCATTCTCTTATTGGTCAATTAGATATCATGTGACTAAAATTATATTGAGGTATTCCATGTCTCCCTGCTTAGAAAACGTGTAAAGAGTGTATTCACCGGCAGTGACGTCATTTTTAGTGAATACCACTATATATTCAATTAAAATGTGACGTCACATCACTTAAATTTTAATTCCCGGGAATTTAGTAAAAAGTATTTTCATTCGATATGACAGACGGTGAAGTTGTATCAGGAAGACCTCCCAAGAAAAGGTTCAATACTGTATAACAAACGCGGGATAAAGATTTTACAAATGTATTCAAAATGTCAACTAATCAAAGCACGAAGACTTGACTTAATGGAAGATGTATTCGGGCTGCGGTGAATACACCTTCAGAAATATCTACAGATATCAAACTCCACAGAATTCAATATTTGTATAGTATCTTGTATCTGTTAAATTTTAACTGTGTCAAAACGAAACCATTTTTGAACATGTTTGTCATTCAGAATCTATTTATAAGTGTGACACATAATTTTTTTGTTACTCTTACAAAGCAAGAATTCCTCAAATGAGCATAACCATTTTGAGAACATATCCCGACACAATGGCAGGTAAGATAAAATACGACATTTCACAATTCAACAAATCAATGAATTGACAACTCTTAGATCAGAGCCTTTCTAGATGTAGAAAGTTGAATAATATAGCTTTAGGGAAATCAGGGATTCCCATTATATGGACCTTAATTTTTTTTGACTTCGTTTTACTATTTTGGTTATGAGGACAATTAATTTCAAATAGAACAAAAACTACCAGGTTCTTTCCAAAATAGTCTAGAATATTTAGAAATAGAACATGTGGCTTTTTTGTTATCAAGCTGCTAGTGCTTTGAAGGTTCTTTTGAAGGGGAATGAGCTATGGACATTTTATACGATTTTTTAGCAATCCCTCATGGAAAGTATTATAGAATTAATACCAGGCATGATACTCAATATCCTTAAATTGTTATTTTGCTGGAATTCATTGAGAGTTGATTACTGCATTGTACATATTACCAGCAAAGCCCCCCCCCAAAAAGTAATCGAGAGAAAAAAAATTATATTTCTTTTTTAACAGATCACATTGCATTTTTGCAATTTAAACATCCATTTTCCATTTCTGCCTATAAGAAAATTGACTTAGAACTCATGTTCTATAAAATGCCTAAAAGTTATTTGAAGAATTTGAAGGCAAGCAACTGATTGGCAACTGAAAACCAATGAAGGCAAATATGGGGTGAGAAAATAGAGAGTAAATTAAATATTATTTAGAGGTAAAAATCATGCTGGGATTAACTAAAATGAAACAGAATTCCATTTAGCAAATCCCTATTTAATGCTGATTTTCCCTTTGAATGAGCCTTTGAATGGGGCTATTTAGATAAACAATAAAACATGTAAAAAACTCAAATCAACAATAAAATTATATGCCGAGTACTAAAATAGTACTAGTGGCTTTTTAGCGCTAATTTAGTATTCATTTCAGTAAAAATTAGTACTAAATGAGCACTAATGACATACAGGGTGTCAGATTTATTGTATGGTTTAGCACTAAATAAGTACTCATATGATGAGTGATAAAATAGCAGTAATGTCATTGATTTTTTAGCGCTAAATTGGTACTCATATCATGAGTGATAAAAAAGTACTAATAAAATTGATTTTTCAGTACTAAATGAGTTCTCATATCATGAATTAGTACTAAATTAGCACTCGTGGCATGAGTGCTCATGACCGCGCTTTTGCTAGAGTGCTAATTTAGTACTAATTGAGTAATCGGCATATCTCCGTGTGATTAGGGTACAAAGTTTTTATACAAACCCCATAAAGCATTTGGAAGGATTTTTGTTTTGATATTTTGAAATATGAGGACAAATGCAGATATAACAAAAACTACCAAATTCTTTCCAAAATAGTCTAGAATATTCAGAAGTATATACAGTGCTATATATCCACATTACTAGTATATATTAACACATTTTCAGGACAGAAATTAGTTCTCAGCTTAGAAAAGGAAATACTTAGGAAGCTTTGCATTCAGCTTGACCCTGACAGAAGTCTTCACCCAACATGGGAGAACCTTGCAGAGCGCCGTGGGCTTACATATGATGAAATAAAACATATTAAGGAGGCGGTAGCTAAATATGAAAAGAAGAGCTATTTCCTTCTACTTCTAGAAGATGCCAAGTGCCAAGATTACACAGTAGATCAACTTAAGAAAGATTTGAAAGACATTAACCATAAAGGTGCATTAAAAGTCCTTGAAGCATTTGGAACTTTATGTGAATAATGCCTATCCTAAATTGAATCTAAGACACTGTGTGAATATAAGGATTTAGGATTCAAACATGGAACTTTAGTCTTTGGAGGGATTATTATATAAAAAGTGACTATACAGTGAAAAATTCTCAAGATTGTAAGTGCATAGAATTTTAAGTTGATCATAAAAAATGTCTCGGAACAATCCTGAGAAAATATAACCACAAAAAGGCACCTCAGAAAATAAACATAAATGCTGAAGTGATAATAACTGAAATACTATAACTGCTGTCCGAGTCTTCCATCTTTACAACAAATAGGCCTTTTCCCTATATACAGGGTGTCAAATAAGTCCCGTCCCCCCCCCTCTACAGCCAAAACCAAGATATTTGGTACCAAGTGTGATATATCGTTGGAAAGGTCTTCCAAAGTTACGTTGATTGGCATATATCTGACACATGTCAATCAATCTCACAAATTTTTACATTGTATCAATTGAGGTGACCATATGCCTAGAAACATGGCAATTTGGCATATTTGGCAGGATTTTAAGAATCGGGTATAAGAAAGGTCAAGGGACCAAAAGATGACTAAACATGTTTATGGCAATGAATTTAACCAATTTCTGGATAGGGTTAGATGTGTAGAAAATAGAGGGGCAAGGAAAGTGCTGAAAAACATTTTGTAACAAGTGGAATGCGAAAAAGATCAACTTTTTGACGTATTTCTGAGGTCATATCCTTGTCATTTTGACGCAAAAAAGCTACTTAAAGGAGGGCACGTAAACTATAAAAGACATCATAAAAATATAGGTAAATTTCATCCAAAATACTTGAGAGTTGGTGAGTTAACATAACTTTGGATGATCTTTCCAATGGTATATCACACTAGGTACCGTCTGTTAAGGCTTTAGCTGTAGCAGGGGGGACGGGACTTATTTGACACCCTGTATAACTACAGGGTATACTTCAAGTCATAAACAGGGACATACGAGTTCTTTGAGTTCATGATAAAAAGGCTGATTTACTAACAATGCTCTATTCAGTCAGTTCAACCTAATTTGAGGCCTTTTCTGGGTCTTTATATTGTACTGAGTTCAGTTGTCAAAATACCAAATAACTGAAGAAATAAACAAACTTTCATTGTAATTTTATTCAACTGCATTTCAGGAATATAACAGTGAAGGTGATGAATATCACATAAGAAGTAGTTTTGAACCTAGATTAATGTATTGTTTGGTGAGAGCAGATATCAACAAAGTGTTTCTGTGTTCACAAATAAATTTGTTCAAAATGTGTAAATGTTCTTCTCATCAATATCAATTTTGAGCAAAATTTAGCTAGAAGTTTCATCTTGATAAAATTACTACTAAAACAGTACATGAACACTGTACATAATGAACCAACGACCTAGTTCACATAGTCACTGGGGATCAACTGGAAACGAAGACATGATGTCTTTGTTTCAGCATGGTTGAACTTCCAGTAGAAGAATATTTGGTAAGAATTTTTGTTTCCTTGATTTTGTCACATTTATTCATCCAACTTTATATTTGGCCAGTATGTAGTGCTTGGGTTCTGGTTTGAAGTATGATTCCATCTCAGAAATACACAAGAGTAATTATTTTGACATTTACAAATCAGTTCCCTCACTTAAGAAACACTGACTAACAATAGATTTATTGTAAAAATGTTGATATTTTGTATACTTGGAGGGATTGAACTCTTTTTTGTGGTGCTGCATTCCCCTTTACTTAGTGCAATCGGATATCATAGAATTGTGCTGTCTTCGTTTCATACTTCGGAAACTTATGCACTGTCTTCATTTCTCCTAAGCGAGGGAATTATTTTGTAATTATCCAAACAATTACTGTGTTTTACTTTTAACCGTAATTTGAAACTGGAAGCAATGCACTACATACAGTAGTACAATATTCGCAGTATCATACAGGCTAACCATACAGGCTATGGGCAATAAACCTGGCTCAAATCATAAAAGATGAACAAGAATTATCACCATTTTGGGTGGCCTGTTTTCAGGGTATAAGTACTAGTTTAGAAGGCTTATATTTTTTACAATAGAGAGTTTTCGGTATACGTTTTCAGTCAAACTTATACTGCAACTTTAACTTTTAAATGACGTAAACACCACTGGGGAAGAAGGTTTCTCAAATAAAGCAGGAAAGTACATTTAATTAGAAAAAATTCCTTGTTTCCTAATAGGGAATTGATTTGTGAATATCCCAGCAATGGCAGAATTAATTACTAAGTTGTAATCATATTTTGAAACAGGAACTTACAAACTACATACTTGCACAATATTTTGTTGTGATTTGAGTTCCTCCCAAGTAGGTAGTAAGCTAGGACACAAAAATGTTTTTACCAGTGAACAAATTGAAATTACTTGTTTCTTATGTATTTTTATGTGATACTTCAGAAATTTTTTGTCTGACGCGCCGTATCCGGGGCGAAAGTTGCCAAAGTGGGGTTTTTGACCCTAATATAGAAAATGACAGGGGGTACTTTATTATCCTTGAATAACTTTTTCAGTTGATCCCTAATCATCACAATAATTTTACTGGAAGTTGTTTATATCATTCTTAATTAGTATGCAAAGTTTCAATGATCTGTCATTAATGGTTGTCGTGGAAACCATGATCTTTGTTGAAAAAGTCCATAATTTTGGTAAAACCTGTACCTGTACATCATATAGAATGTGCATTATTTTTCAAATCAACAGATATCACAACATGTTAGTGCTCTAAAAATTATCAGGACAGTTCAGACATTTGTTTAAATATAATGGATATTGTTATTCACGTGATTGGTAATTGTCAAAGACCATACAATTACATAGTTGATCAAAAGTGGGCGTCGTCCTTATAATAGTAGATGATTACCATTCCCTATAAATACAGATTTTAAGTTGACTTGAGATACCAAAAAAATGTACTTCTATTACCATAATCTATATCAAGCAATTCTGGTAGATACATATAAGTGGTGTATGTATTACATCAAGCTAGGAATGGGGGGGGGGGGGGTACAGTGGGGGGGGGGGGGGTAGAGGTAACCAGCCTTATATAAAACCCATATACAAAGTTTTAGTTTCATGTAGTACATCTTTTGGATCTTGTTCTGTTTATATCAATGTATAGGATATTGCAATTTTACATTATTGTTTAAGTGTCAAAGACCATACAATTACAATAACATGTGATCAAAGGTGCGCTTTGCCATCATAATGATAATAGATGACTGCCATTTTCTATAAATATGGAGTTTAACTTATGAGATACAATTATACTGTATTTCTGTTGCCATAATTCATATTAAGCATTTCTTGAAAACACATATAAGTCTTGATGTTATTCCACCAGGCTGGGGGGGGGTTAGAATGTGTTTTTAGAATCATAAGTTTCCACCCATGCTCATCTGGTGCTGGAATATTAGGTTTTTCAATATGGGCCATACGCCAGATAAGAGCCTGGTAGTTGGCTCTTGCTAAGTGAAGCATTGGGGAGTCTTGACAAGGGGAAGTAGACTAATGTCTGTTCCTTCAAAGTCAGTTATTGTTTTAGTATGGGGCCTAAACGTCTCTTTAAATAACACATATCTGGCTTTGTTGATGTGGGATATTTGCAGTTTCCAATACTAGTATATATGGTAAACAAACTTTTCTACTTTACTGGTTGTTTCGTTATTTATGTCTGCTGAGAGTCCTAGTCCTTTGAATGTGTCTGTATGATTCTACCAATTTGCCATGTTTTGAAAGGTGTTACTTGGCCCCTCCGAACCATGGCACTTACAGTGTTATGCTGGGAGGGCTTCACATATTTCGGTATGAAAGGATGAGAAGACGCTTGGCAGCAACTTATATAACCAAAGGGAGAAATATAAGTCCCAAAAGATTGGAATGAGTTCTTGAAGAATGATGCAAACAAGAAGCAACTATGCCAGTTACTGTTAAATGAATGGAAAAGACCACAATATGCTAAGAAACTGCAAGGCCAAGAAATGTGCTGACTATGAGACACAAAATTATGTCGATGAGATTTATAATTAAGGCTGACTAGCATTGCCCCCCCCCCCCATTCTATCCCTCCACTTCAAGACTTATATGTGTTTTCCAGAAATGCTTGATATGAATTATGGTAATAGAAATACAGTATAATTGTATCTTATAAGTTCAACTCCATATTTAGAATTTAGAATAGAAAGACATCATTTTCCATGATGAGAAATGTCAGAGAAATCGATTTAATTTCCAGATGCTGGAAATGACAGGGAATGTTAAAATTGGGTCAAAAAGAGCCAAAAATTTCCGGGAATTTTGAAACAGTAGATATGTCAGGGAAATATCAGGGAATTTTGTATCAATGTTGAAAATATAATGTTCCAGGAAAATACATTTTAGGGTTATGACAGGACATCAATGAAATCCAAATTCTAACATTCAGTTGTTTCCACTAATTGGAAATATTTTCATAAGGGTTGATTGGATGACAATCTATCTGGTATTGTCTATTTGTAAGAACAGTGTGAACAAACTGAAACCAATCAATAAAGAATATATGTATATGTATCGTTGGTTCAATACAATTATGCCTTTCCTTGTAGTAAGTTACATGTAGTCTTAGGCCATTCAAAGTTAATTATTGGTATATAGACTAATATGTTTCATGTTTTGTTGAGGATTTAATCTGAGGAGGGTGGGTGGTGAAAAACAAAAAAGATTCTGGGAACTCTTTTCAGTGTAAAACTGTATTTATATTGAGAAGCTGTCTGTTCAACAGTCCTGTCTTACGTCAGTCTATTCATCTGCCCATCTGTCAAGGCAATAACTCAAATATCAGTTCGCAGATTTTGTTCTAACTTTATATACTGATGCTTTGGTTATATAGGGCCTCTGCTCAAAAAGAAACTCACCATTTTTGGTTCAGATTGATTGTGCAGAAGGGCACATGACTCTGCTCAAGAAAAAAAGGTGGTTGCTACTCAAAAAGTTTCTGTTTTCAGAAGAGGTATGATTCCTGATAACACAAATACAGATTTCTTTATTTGGTATCATAGGACTATTCCGTATGGTGATGCTATTTGAGAAAGAATTTCTAATATGGTGTCATGTCTTGGTGTGGATTTTCCCAAAGGGGTGAAGACAATAGTAATGCCAGGTTATTGTTATCATATAATGTTAACAGTGATCAGTAGTTGACAAATTATAGTTTGAAATGCTTAGAATGCACCATTTACAATGTAAATGTTTAAAAAATTTCGGGAGGTGAACCCCAGTAATCCCAGTGATGCAAACCCAAAGAATTCCCCCCCCCCCCTTGACATTTACTGGGTACTCCCTGTACATGTATGTTTACCTTTAGCCTTATGCAATGTAAAATATATAAAATTAAAAATATAATGTATCAGGAATAAATTGGTGAATAAGATGGCCTTTAGAAGTAAAGTTATGAAAAAATGGTACTAAATGAGAACCCCAAAATGTTTCATGATAAGTCTTGTCTTAAACTAGACAACAGCAACCCCAAAGCGTAGCAAATCCCATTGAACAGCCATGGCTGGCATTTTTACAAACAAAGTATATAGCAAAAATGGCAGCCATTTTTCAAAATGACCATCTTCTACCACAATTGTCATTAGACAGTGTGCCATGCTTATAGTATTCACATACCAAATATGAACAGAATCGCTCCACTACTTTTTCGAGTTAGAGTAAAATAGGATAAAATGGTGGCCATTTTGAAAAATGGCGGCCTTCTACCAAAAGTGTCATAAGACAGTGTGCCATGCTTATAGTATTCACATACCAAATATGAACAAGATCGCTCCGCTACTTTTCGAGTTACAGCAAAAATCGTAAAATAGCTGCCATTTTTCAAGATGGCTGCCATGTGCTTCTTTAAGATCTACATTTCTAGCTTTATTAATGTCCTATATAATTTTTTACATTTAAAACATATTGCTATTACAGTTTTATATATTGTACTTAAATTACTGTAAAATCGGCTCTAAATTGGCCACTATTTTTGAATGAGTGGCCATTTTGAAAATCATCTTTCGAACAGAACTTCTATTCCCATAGGGTATATGGTTACAAAATATGAACAAAATCGGCCCAATGGTATTTGAGTTATTGCCCGAATGGACGGACGGATGTACAGAGGCGTTCCCTATATCCCTCCGAACTTCGTTTGATGGGATAATAATACAGTTGTTTGAGACTTTGTAGTAGTCTGCGCAAGAATTTCCTTTCTTCCCTGGAAATGTCAGGGAATTTCATTTTAAAAAGGTGTATGAACCCTGTTATTATGAAGGCAAACCCCACTTTTAAACACTAACGTAATTGTATGGTCTTTGACACTTTCCAATAATGAAAATTGCAATATCCTATATATTGAGATAAATCAGAACAAGATCCAAAAGATGTACTTCATGAAACTAAAACTTCGTATATGAGTTTTATATGAGGCTGATTACCTCTACCCCCCCCCCACTGTACCCCCCCCCCCCCCACCATCCCTAGCTTGATGTAATACCCTACAGCACTTATATGTATCTACCAGAATTACTTGATATAGATTATGGTAATAGAAGTACATTATAATTGTATCTCAAGTCAACTTAAAATTTGTATTTATAGGGAATGGTAATCATCTACTATTATAAGGGCGACGCCCACTTTTGATCACCTATGTAATTGTATGGTCTTTGACACTTACCAATCATGTGAATAACAATATCCATTATATTTAAACAAATGTCTGAACTGTCCTGATAATTTTTAGAGCACTGACATGTTCTGGTATCTGTTGATTTGAAAAATAATGCACATTCTATATGATGTACAGGTACAGGTTTAACCAAAATTATGGACTTTTTCAACAAAGATCATGGTTTCCACAACAACCATTAATGACAGATCATTGAAATTTTGCATACTAATTAAGAATGATATAAACAACTACCAGTAAAATCATTGTGATGATTAGGGATCAACTGAAAAAGTTATTCAAGGATAATAAAGTACCCCCTGTTATTTTCTACTTTAGGGCCAAAAACCCCACTTTGGCAACTTTCGCCCCGGATACGGCGCGTCAGACAAAAAATTTCTGAAGTATCACATAAAAATACATAAGAAACAAGTAATTTCAATTTGTTCACTGGTAAAAACATTTTTGTGTCCTAGCTTACTACCTAAAGTGCTATACTTGACTTGTACAAGTACAGGTTTGCGTATACGTATTCCAGAAAACTTGTATCGAAACCTGTCTAATATTGAACTTAGCAATAGGTGGAGCCATAGTGTGGGGACATAGGGATCATTATCCACCCTGGACTAGGGCGATTAACAAGTTTGTACTTAGTTTTGTATAGGTGGTGATAACACTAACAACCCCATTTCAGCAGGCCTTCAGCCCTTAGCCCAAGATTTCACTGTTTCCTGCTGAAATGAGGTTATTGGTATAATGCCCTAAAGAGAATGAATATATCACCAAAACTCATAACAACAGCATGTTTCATTATATCAAACATTTTATTGTAATGTTTGTGTTGTTACATACATTAAAATAATTACAGTTTTAATGTGCCTTTGAATAAAAAAAATTGTATGAAATATTTTTTTACATGTAATGTACAAGATTTACAAATATAGTACAGTACAACTATTTTCTATTCACATCAGACATATAAATAACAGATTAATGTTTGGAAACAAAAGAACAAATACACCTCACTTGATTAAATGCTCTATAATGTGACATAATAATAAATAAATAAACTAATAATAATCATGACTAAGTAGTAAGTACCATACTCTACTGATCTTAGATTTTCTAAATAACAGATATATACATGCTAAATATTACATCTTGTATAACATGTCCTCCTATATGGTTACGAATTAGACTACATATATGTAGGATTATCAAATAATATATTTCTGGATGTGAAAAGATAACTCAAAGTTATTAACAGAAAAGTGACCTTGAAGAAATCTGTCCAGAGTACTTTATTTTTATCATAGTATTAATACAGAGTGAAACCTCCATGTGAACACATCAAGAGAAAGTCTCAGTTTTATATCCCATTCACTTTTATACTGAACACCTCTGTGTGAACACCTTTAGCTGGTCTTAGCACATCTCTACCAGAATATGCCATTGTATTTATTTATTGAATATTTCCTGGTGTCAAGGCATATATGGGGTAAATGTAATTACAAAATGATATATTTAACTAATGATTTACAATGAAATTTGATTAAAAATTGTATCTCCCAGTTTTCATAAAGTGTTCATCTCTTGATATCATTCCAGAACTATAAAATATCATAAGGGATCATGTCAATAATTCCATGTTGTTTCATTTAAGATTGACCCCTCTACCTCTCCTTTTAAATGAACATTCTCTAAAATCTAAAGTCGCCTCCTTTTAAATATTAATGTTTTATAACAAACCGACATTTGCACCCTCCCCAAAACTTAACAATTATTTACCTATGGGGGCATACTCTGATGTATTGAACATATCCCATAATCAGAAATAATACTGTACACTTGTTAAAATGGCTTGCTAAACCTCAAAGTTCTACACAAATCAGAAAATTGCATTGGCAAATAATTTACAAGCAATTATGTTTTATAACTTGGTGATTCATTAAAAGATGGTGCTGCGAAACAGAATGCGGTGATATCATCAAGATGGTCATTATTGGACCATGAAAGGCACACAACTTTAACAAGTCCTTTCACTTTTTAAATAATAACTACAGTATAAACATTGGTATACTTAACTTGCCATGTTTAAATGGCAATGTAATACATACTAACTATTAATATGTGATTTTGGCTATTATTATACACACTTCTTGTCATTATGTTCATTGTGATCTCAAACTTATTTTAATGAACAGCAACCATTAACACAAACACAGTCGATTTAATGAAGATGCAAAAGGAGATGTTCAATGATCATAGTGATTGGAATCAGACTGACTGGATCACTGGTTTGTGACTGTAAAACTGATTCAAACTGGAGTCATATCCCCGGTCATATCATCATTTTGCATTAGATTCAACAATTCAATACTGGAGTATCCACAAGTGTAATGCATAGTTATTATATATATAGATAGATGGCATTGTTCCCGTATTATTGTAAATCTGAATTTTTTGTAACACAATACCAGTATTTGTGAAAATTCCTATACTAGGGTTGCCCAAAAATTTTGCTCCCATTTCATCATATCTGACTTAAAGTGTATTGAAATATCTAAATTTTTACCATTTCCCAGATTCTCAATTGGGTGCAAATGTTTAAATTGGATGCAAAATGTTCAACTGGGTGCAGTGCCTGGTTTATAATGCTAGGGAGATCTCCGATATATGAAGGTTGGGAACAATACAATACCGGACTTTGATTGACATATTTTGGATTTTCAATCAAGCCTCTTAATCACACTATGCTCATGGTATTTATACAAGTACAATGTATGTCCTGGTATGACATCTTTCGCAATCTTGGGTATGAGAATTCATACTTTCCCTTTGATCAGTCTCTGAGATAGCTCATCCAAATATGGACATGTGTAAAGCCTACATATTCTTGAACAATGGCAGACTATGGTGCCTTTAGTGCTAATCCAGTGAAATAGTCTAGACTTAAGCGGCACATCTTAGGTTTTTTCTATGTTTTGAAAGAACCACTCAGTGACCCGTCTCAGCTGTTGAGCCGCAGTTTGGAGTTCCTCTTGAAGTGTGCTGTTTTCCCGCCTTAAATCTCCTACTTCCTGTTTGAGAGATTCATTCTCCATTTTTTCCTGAAAAACACGTCAAAATATGGATCCTTTATATTTCCCCTGTACATAAACATGAAGCTAGGTTTTGTCTATATTCTGGAAGAACCATTCAGTAAACTTTCTAAGCTGATTGGCAGCAGTCTGGGATTCTTGTTGTAGCCGTTTATTTTCCTGTCTTAAATGTTCTAGTTCTTTTTCTGCTGACTCTCGTTCTTGTGATTCCTGGAAAAAATGGAAAACATTCCCTTATTTCACTACCATGCAGAGAATTTTATATGCTCGTGTCGAACTATAGGACAAGAATACAAGCTTAAAGGACAAGAATACAAGATTAAAGGGCCATTATTTGTGATTTTGATCCTAATTTACCCAAAAATATTTTCAATTCACAAAGACATGTAACAGAGCAATAGACATTGATATAACCTTTATTTCTGTACTAAAGCATGATATTAATCAGTTATGTATAGAAAGCAAATTTATTAATTGCCTTTTAAAATTGAACAAGGCATTAATATGCAAAATATCACCACCTGCCATTTGTTACATACACTAAACACCAACTGCTGAACACAGTCCGGAAAAAGTAGGAGATCATAACAATACGGGACCACTTATGGTGGTGACATAACAATCAAATTTTGCATTTGTTCTGCTTAGAGATGAATTATTTTAAGCTTTGATATTTTCAGAAAAGAAGGACTCTACCCAATTCTATTGAAGTTGCAAGTAACAGATCATTATCAATTAAAAACACTTAAGGCTTCATAAGATCAAATTTACAGACAATGTCCTTTTCATTTTGACATTGCATCAAGAAATAGCGCAAATATGAAGGATACATGCCTCCTAATCAGGCTCAAAAATTGTAATGATCAAAGAGCATGAAATTCAACCATGTAGAGCCATGAAAATGTGTGCTCATAATATTCCACCAGGATGAAGTCACAAAGAGCATGCATTAACTTTTCACACATTGCATATATCTAAAGCTGGTAATAACACATTCTGAGTTGACCATTACTCCCATGTCATGTAAACTATAGTCAATACACTGCTATAACATCAAATTCAATTGTTGCTAATCGCCAAATTACATCTGGCAATAAATTGGATTTACCAACACAGAGATGACCAGTTAAGAGGCAAATGTAAACTGTATGCAATCTACGCTATAAGCTGAGCTAGCTACCTTCTAAGTAGGGGTCCCGCGATTCATCGATATATCGATGCATCGGCTCGTTTGGTATCGATTCGAAGACTCAAATATCGATACACCAAAAATATTATTAACATACCTGAAATCCATCATATTTTGCCGAAATATACTGAATATTTGACTTTTTTGAGAAATTGTTTTCATATTTTTTGTTTGGTTTCTCACTGGACATGACACGCCCAAAATGTTGTATAAATGCGAACAGAATGCTTAGCGGATTGACAGTCAAAATGCGAACAAATAACTCGTGTCTTCTATGTCTTCGTATATCAACGTACTTTGTTTTATAATTCTATATACTTTTTGACAATTAAGTGTTAATAAATATAATCTTTTTATTGGATAGAACGCGTTAAAAAATTACCTACTAATATTGATAACTCTAATAAAAACCGAACAATATTTACGTTCGGAGTATTAATGTTGACCGGAGTTTAGAAATTGAAACTTTTTGAAAGTTTTGAAGACAATTGATGGAATCATGGCCGTGTAAGCATCAAACATGGGTAGTTGTGTTATCCTTATATCCCTCAATAGAAAATCTACTGTAGTACTTTGGAACATTCCTCAGTAAAGGGAAAGCACCGCCGGACTTCCAAAAAATTGCAAAATATGCATAGCTGACTAGTGACTACAACACAGCAGGTAGGCTTGATACTTGACTATAGTTTTTATGCTGCATCTGAATCAAATGTCACAGCACGTGATAGACTTTCAACTCGACCTTAGCTACGTCAGTGTTGCACCCCCTCCCCCCGGTTCAACTACACTATTATGTATCGTATCGTTGCTCGTATCGTGACCTGAGTATCGAGATACGTATCGTATCGTTTCATAATGTATCGTGGGACCCCTACTTCTAAGCACATAGCACAATTAGTCAATCAACAGTCATAAAGTTCCAAAATAGAATGAAGTTTTGAAACTTTTCTAATTCCCATTCTTCTCTGCTATGAATTGCAGTCTTAAATGGCCTTTGGCACAATTTTCTGTCCAGAACCCTCGTTGTTTTAGACCACATATGAGACCATATCATATATTGTTTTACATACTGTATGACTAATTGCGCAAGCTACAAAAGAGGTATCTGTTATAAAGATTTAGACAATATGCAGCAGTAAAATGAAGGCATCAGCTTGTTTGTAAAAAGCATTTTACAGTACATATATAAACAGGTTAACAATAATTCTATGAGCCAGAAAATGTTAATTATTTGCGATTGATTTGTTAATATTCTAATTTTGCCCCTTGGACTTCTTTCTGACAGAATGTTTTTTTTATATTGGATACAAGATGTTTAATATGAAGGTTATACTATTACAAAAAAAATATATCTTTGATATAAAAGATTTGTTACCTTTTCTAATTGTTGAGTAAGTTGGACAACATGTGTCTCCAGTTCACGCTCCCTCTGTGTGCTGGGCTGGCCTGATACATGGCCGACTGTCCTCCACACTGACGAACTGAAAATCCATTAAAAATTCATATATATACAAGCTTCATACCTCAGCTTACTAGCCTCGATCTAAGGTGCTCATACAAGACTCAATCATTAAAAACCTAACAATTCATTAAAATTCTTCAACCATATAATGCTTTAAATCGACATTAAGTTCCATAAATTACCTTGTGCTACTGGGAGAGGGCAGCACTGGTTTGCTAGTTCCTGTTGCGGAACCAGACACACGAACTCCAAGACGTTCTTGAGCTGTTAAGTTGCGAGTATTTTTGTCACCATGGCTAGTATGGTCAGTGCGACCTTTATGTTTTGTTGGTGTGCTGTGAGGTTCAGAGGTCACATTGGAAGTTCTTGGTTTGGCACTTGTTTCTACTCCTGGAATAATATAATGTTCTAAAATCATCAAGCATAAATCTTTATCTTTAAAATCATATCATTCTGACACTTATCAGAGAGAATGTCATGGTATATCATGATGGGATCATACAAGTACATACACATGATTTTCAATCAGTTATAATTTACATACTTTATATTTTTCGTAAGAAAACTGAAATATTTTACAAGATAGAATAATACAGAAGTAAAAGAATCTGTTTGAATTAAAAGCAAGCTGAATGAAAACAACAAGTATAAATAGGTAAGCAGCTAATGTGACGTGAAAACATCCATGGTAACACACCATTGGGCAGTGATTCGTTCATTACCAAGACACTTTGTGTACTACATGTAAAGGTATAAACCAACAGATATATACCATACAGTCTAACACACAATTCCAAACAATGCCCCAAAATGAGCAGATCCACAGATAACAATATGGCAGTTATTATGACCGTATGTTATTTTTATAGGACTAAGCATCAGAATGACTATACAGTTAATGAAGTACTGAAGTACAGTCTAACAAAGTGCCCCTAAAAATGCCAAAACTTGTGATAGGTCCTTTATTCATTTACTTGGGCTAATTACACATTTGGCTGTAATTTCTAGGTACTGTGCACTGTACTGTATATAAGACCCACATTTTTGAGAACTTACCATTATTTTCATGAAAGGATTGGAATTAATGGGGCTCTCATCTTTGTTCCGAACATAAATGGAATATTTGGTGAGGAATTTTAATGATTTGTATATCCAGTTCTATTGGAGAGAATACAGATCAAAAATACATAATATTCAATTCCCATTTCATATCAAAAGCGAGAAGGATAATCAAAAAGCCATAGAAATAATATAACGACAAAGGTCAATTGCATAAATCTATTTCTGTAATATGACACTGTACAAAATCTGGATGAAGTTCTTGATCTAATCTTATCAATTTTCCCGAGACATTAATCTTTGAGCCGTTATCTTTCAGCCAGTTCTACTAATAGAACGGAAATTTCTAGAAATAAATGAAAATGCCAGGAATCTGGACAAACAGATTAATCACATCAATTCAATTTTTCTCTTGAAATGACAAGACGTTTTGATTACGACAATCAAACCATGCATATAATTATTATCATCTTAAGATTCCCGGGTGTCTGAGGAGAATATATATTATGCTTTGTACAGCCACATTTTCTGACAAGACTCTAAAGATATCTTTAAAAATATCCTACAATTTATGACTGAAGACTTTGTACAGAGCCCACCAAGAAACAACAAGGCATTAACATGCAAAATGTCACCACCTGCCATTTGTTACAAACAATGAAGACCAAATGCCAAACACCATCCACAAAAAAAGGTGGAAACTATAATTGTGGCTGATATTTCTCTTTTCTGGTTTTCTCACGGCCACAAAGTGATGTTATATTATACAGTTATCTGCTATAATCTTTTAAAGTATTATGTCTCAATTTTCTACTTCAGCTATATCTAATAGATAGTTATGCCATTGTGGTAAGCCACGCCTTTTCCACCTCATGTCCTTTCATGCAGACAAGGTGTGAGCATCTTAAATGCTATGAGTATCAAATGTAGTAATGCCTATTTGACTGATGTCTCTATCATGTAATAACAACAATAGAGAAATAAGTGTTCACTTTAATATATTCACTGTATAATGCATATGAATTTACTTTCTGAAAAACTGAAACGGAACTGATGATCTTAAAGAGTTATGAAGTCAGGACTGCATGTTAAAATCAAATAAAATAGTGAAGCTAGCGCAAATAAATCTAATATTACGTATGATTTGTATTGCCTCAATAGAATTACGAAGGTCTTATAAATAATATTAAGCTAAGCCTATAAACTGTGTCATATATTAAATCAAAATGTTTTCACTTTTAGAGGTTGCAAAAAATAATATGCTGTTTTTTATAAAAGGAGACTGGTTTTTAATATCTTTTTTTTAATTTCATCATCAATGATGATAAAATTATATTTCATAAAGCATTTGTATGTAGCTATGTTAATTTTGAAAGGACTTTACTGCACATTTTCTTGAATGAAGCATGGGCCATTTTCTGCATCAGTGCACTGAAGATTCTCATCCGAGAGAGAAATCACAAAATAATTCTCAAATAAGATGGCTAAATCACGCTGGTTTGAAAACACTGTGGCTCTATTTATCCCATAGATAAAAGAGGCTGATCTTAATCCATGGAATTTTCCCAATATCAAGGAACCATTTGTCATGCTGACAAAAATTGCTGGTTGATATTCAACAGAAAGGCATCTGAAGCTCATAACTTGAATATATGGGATCACGAAATATATGGTCAAAAGGGCAACTCTGTAAAATGCAATAATTTGGTCAATTTACCACTTGGGCTCAAATTAGAAAGAATCGTTCTCTTTGACAGTTCCATAAATCAACAGAAGACAGTAGCGTATATTAGCATGAATTTCACTAATATTAATGTTCAATCAAATACAAATGGGAGATTCTGTGTCATCAAAGAGAATACAGTATGCCTTATTAGAGGGCTGCATCTTTTTAAGCCCATCCCATATTATCCCATAATTTTTGACATAGAAATACCAATCAATGAGGGATTGCTTGCTCGGTTTGAAATTAGGAATCTATTTGGTGTCAATTTTTGTTTAGGAATACAATACATTTCCCTTGAATAGGATATTGATCTGTAGACTTCTTACTGATGGTTTTCAAAGCACACATTGTGTCACAATAATACTAGATAAATATATTAATGAGTCTATTATTGGTAAAACCTTACTTTCTGTACATTGGGGAATTCATATCAAGTGACACATTTTACCAGATTTTTGGAAAATTTATGTGAGCCCTATGCCTTAAGTTCTTTTTAATATGTAAGAGCTCTTATTAAGAAATAAAGAAAAATTGTCATATATCCAATCTTAATGACACACTTGAACTAGAGTTAATGCCTTCAAACTTTGCATCACTTTATTGCTTATGTATTTTCTGATGAAATCGAGAGCAATATCATCCCATTGTTCAAATATACCCCAGATTGCATATGCACAACTTTTTCCCCACCCCCTGTAAGCCTCATGCAGTTTGTCGCTGCATTGGAGCTCACCGGTACATGTCTATGCAACATATCATATATTTTCCTTAAAATAAATACACCACATTTGCAAAAACAAAGAGTGAATAATCTGAAAAACAAAACAAATCCTTATAAACTCAACTAAAGATGATATCCCAGTCTTGGGCTGACACCTACCAAAGTCATCGTGATTTATTGCACATCCATTGAGGCATATAATAACTGGAGGAATAGGCCCAGGTTCCCTTTTATGACTGCATGGGGGTGGTTCCCTAAATGTATCTATCCTCAACTGTTCTAATTCACTACACTCCAACACCAGTTCCCCATCTTCTATTGCCTTAGAGTAGGAGTGACGTTTCCGTAAAATAGGTGGAGGAGACACTGTTTTTCTCTGAATATAGCTATCCGATTTACTGTGACTAACTCTGCATTTCACAGAAGGTTTTTTATGAAACTGCTGTATACAATCGCTGAATACGATATGGCGATTTTTGCCTGTTTTAGATTTGAATTTTTGCTCCATTATCCTCAATGTGAAGTTGAGTACCATGATCCAGATCTGTGGTCTTAATCCAAACTAAAGAAAATATCAATACGTAACATGTTTGATTTTGAGTACTCCACAATGATCTTTCTGTTGATTGAACTCTCATTTGTCTGCCGAGTTAATGTCTGACACCTACATCAATATGTGTTTATTTACAAGGCAGAATAAGATCAATTTCAAATCCTTTACCAAGTTGCTGCTAGCATGAAGGTCATCTCCACACAAAACTCAGCAAGACTGGCAAGCTATGTATAACTGCATCCTACTTTATTACACTAATTTAATTTTGTCACTATTCGTTATTGGCCCTACAGAATCCAATAAATCGACCAACAGTTTAAAGCAATTGCTGTTTAATATACCACTCCTTTATACTAAGAAACTTCAAAGCATTTTGAACTTCTGAAATTACTTCAGCATAAAATTTTACATATTCTACAGTGACAATATTCCCATTGGTTATAGGATTTGGAGAAAAATGATGAACAATTTAGTAATTGCGTTATATTTTGATGCTTCTCTGCCATAGTATTTTCAAAAAGATTAACATGGCTGAAATTCTTTAATTACAAGAGGGCACAGGCTTATTGCACAAAAAACAAAAATCTGGAATATACAAATGTCATTCATGTACAATATGAATATACTTTTCCATACATTATTGCACAATGATCTCCTGATTTCTTATTTTTGGGGTTCTACTGACGAAATAAAACAGTGAAATGGACTGTTTAAATAGTAACTTTACATGATGAATGAAATATTTAGAAGTGTGTGAATGTTGGCATCTATTAATTGTCACATTATTCGTCATCATCATTATTATGATAGAATGGTTCATACAATCCTATTTTTATCTCAGCTCCATTGATAAACTGAAATCATAGGAATTTCTCTAATTATTGGCAACATATAGGCTAATAATATATCATAAAATCAATGAGCGAAATCAGAATTCATTGTGAGCAAACGGTGTTGTTATTATAAAGTAATCCAGATAGCTGATAAAACAAAGCTTCCGACCAATAATGCATTCTGAAGGAGTCAAACAGAAATAACAGCCAAAGGCGTAAAAACATTGTAATCTGACGTCATTGGACTTTAACTCGCAAACTCTAAGATGTCTTAAATGTCAACTGCTCCCCATTATGTAAAAATCATTACTTAATCCGTTCGTCCTAAATATCAAAGCCATAGATAATAGACAAATCGTCGGTTTTACGAATACTTGACAACTTTATTGAGGAATAAGACATTATCTAGATTTACTGCGTCTTTCCTCGATCTTGTAGTTTATCTAAGCCTCCCCCGAGAATTCAGGTGCATGAGAAATACGAAGCCACAATATTTAT